ACTTGAATTACAGATGATTATGAGTTGCTATGTGAGTGCTGGGAACCAAACCTGGGTTTCTCTGGAAGAACAGCAAGTGCTCTTAACCCTCAAGCCATCTCTCTGGCTGTTAAATTTTTTTTTTTTTTTTTTTTGGTCTTTTTGAGACAGGGTCTCCCTGTAGCCCCAGTTGTCCTGGAACTATGTAGGCCAGGCTGGCCTTGAACTCACAGAAATCCACCTGCCTCTGCCCCGAGTGCTAGGATTAAAGGCATGCGCCACTATGCCCGGTTTCATTAGAGAAATTTTTTTGAGATAGAATCTCATGTAGTCCAGGATGCCTTGGAACCTGGGATGTGGGTATGTCTAGCCTGTCTCTACCTCCTGAGAGCTATGTGCACTACTACACCTGGAGAACCTCAGCTCTTGAAGAGGACAGACGATCTCATGGCTGTCATCATTTGGCCACTGAAGAAGTTTGCATAGTCACAATTTTGCAAATTAATCTCTTCCCACAAAATTCTATCCTTCCTAAAGTGCACAGGGTATAGCTTATAGTCTTGAGGAGTTTATGTCTTTTCAATTTTTTTTAATTCCTGAGACAGGATCTTGTTATACAGTTGAGGCTGACCTAGAAGTTATTATGTAGCCCAGGCTGGCCTGAAACCTAACTCATGATCCTCCTGCCTCAGCTTCCCTAGTGCTGGGATCACAGCTATGTGGCACACCAGGCTCTGAAGAGGCTGTTGGGAGCCCTAATGGTCAGTTTTGTGGAGAGTCAATCTTCCAAGTCTGAATCAAACCCATTGTTTTTTCCTCCCTTCAAGTGATGAGCTCATTTTGAGTTCACTATCATCATTCTGAGTACCAGTTGGTGGATATAAACTATTTTGTAGAACAAGATGCTCTTTACGTTTAAAGCTGTAAGTTGTATTAGTTACTTTTCTGTTGCTGTGATATCATGCCAAAAGCAATTTACACAATTTTGGCTTACGGTTCCAGATGAGACTACATAACATAAAGACCTGGCAACATGGCAGGAGCAGGAGGCCAGATGATCATATTTTATCTGCACACAGGAAGCAGAGAGAACAGGAAGTAGGTGAGACTATAAAACTTTTTTTTTTTTTTTGTCTTTTTGAGACAGGGTCTCCCTGTAGCCCCAGCTGTCCTGGAACTCATGATGTAGACCAGGAACTCAGGATGTAGATCTGCCTGCCTCTGCCTCCCAAGTACTGGGATTAAAGGTGTGTGCCACCATGCTGGGCAAGACTATAAACTCTTAAAACCTGTTTCCTGTGATGTACTTCCTCCAGCAAGGATGCACCTCCTAAAGGTTCCATAACCTCCCCCAACAGCACCACCAGCTGGGGACCAATTCTCATTTAAACCACTGTAAACCTCAAATACACACACCATACAGTTTTGTGTTGTTTCATTTTATATATATATATACATATTTTTTTTGGGGGGGGGGTTGAGACAGGGTCTCCCTGTAGTCCCAGCTGTCCTGGAAATATGTAGATCAGGCTGGCCTTGAACTCACAAAGATCCGCTTGCCTCTGCCTCCCAAGTGCTGGGATTAAAGGCATGTGCCACCACGCCCAGCGTTTCATTGTATATTTTAAAAGGACAGTAACAAATGCTTTCCCTTACTGGGGAACAATACACCCATTTTCAATGATTAGGGCCTTAAAAAGTAACAGCATCTTGTCCAATCAGAACTTATACAATTGCACAAAAGTCATACAAAGCATTAAGAAATGTTGACCAAGATTGCGGCTTCCTCAGGTTCGGTGGAGCATACCCTGTGAGGTCTGGAGTCCAGTGGAGACTGCTGAGCCACACAATACTGATAGAGTTCCTCAGTGACACAAAGGGAGAGACAGGAGCCCAGAACCGATGTGGCTTGTGACTGCAGGATTCTGTGATGGTGTTGGGAGTCTGATGATGCAGTCACTTTTCTTCACCCCAGAACACCTGAACATACTTTGGCTTAAAGTGCTGCCCAGTTTTAAAACTTACCCAGTCTGCTGAAATTTTGGGTTATAGATCCCACTTCAAGAAATTAAGAATTAAAAACATCAACCATGCTGAAAAAGGCTCTTCTGTGCAGGGTTCTTTATGGCACTAACACCTTGGGCCCCCACACTTCATACTCTCATTGGGCATGTTCTGGTCAGGGATGGCACGTAAGTTCCAACTCAAATTCCAACTGTTTTACTGGCAGCAGTTCCTGGAAATGTGTTACAAAAGACACTAAAGTACCAGCTGGACTGGTGGGACAGCTGACCATGCTTTACTATGAGCTGACATGGGCCCAGGAGAGGGGAAGGCAGCAGGCTTTCTACTTGCAGTCTCTGTATTAATATTTGTTCATTTTGTTCGGAAAAATGTCACTCTGTATTCCACGCTAGTCTTGAACTCAGGGCAATCCTCCTGCTTCAGTCTGAATTACTAACAAAGTCAAAGTGGGGCACATGTTATGGATGTTTGGATAAGTAAAAAAGCTGAAATTTTCTGTTTTAATGGGATAGGGCGTCTTTCTCTAGAGATTTAGCTCATTTTATGGACCTTAAGACAGAATACTTATGATGAGGGTTTTCCCTTCTGATCTTACAAAAATTAAGACGAGGACCTGGGTTTGATCTCCAGGCAAGAAAACAGGAGGCGAGGAAAGGAGGGAGGACAGATCACGACCATCAATGCTAAGAAACAGCATGTACATAAAGCTTGTCTTGCTATGTAGCCCAGGTTGGTCTTTAACCCACAAGTCTCTTACCTTTGCATCCCAAGTGCTAAGATTACAGGTGTAGGATTACAACAACTGGTCGTGCAGAGTACTTTAAAATTACATTTGTGTGTGTGTGCCCATGCATGTGTGTATTCTTTTGTCAGAGCATGAGTATGGAGGTAGGAGGACAACTTTTGGGAGTTGGTGTTCTTCCACCATGTGGGTCCTAAGACCTAACTCAAGTCATCAGGCTTGGGGGAAAGTACCTCCATGTACTGTCATCTTGCTGGCCTGTACAGAATATTTTAAGCCCCAATCAATGGTACCTTACTAATTCAAGGGACTATGAGAAGAGATACATTCTTATTTCTTTTTTTGAGACAGGGTTTCACTAAGTACTCCTGGTTGGCCTGGAACTTTCTATATAGATCAGGCTGGCCTTCAACTCACAGAGAGGCCTGCTGCTGCCTCTTGAGAGAGAGGATTACAGATATGTGCCACTGTGATCTGAGAAAATGAAGAGAAATTGTATTTCTCCTGTTGTTTTTCCAATATGAAGGCATCCCCAGGTTCCTGGTTCTGAAATAAATATAAAAATAAATACAGGCATGTGATAATGGGCATCCGACCTGCTTCCTTCATTCAAATGGTTGTCATTAATGATACAACCATCTTTCTCCAATCCAGGGAAGAAAATTTCAGGGAATGACTTTCGAAGAAGTTTTTATTTTAAATTTAAAATTGAGCTGGGGAATGTAGTTCAGGGATACAGGGTTTATTTAGCATGCGGAAGACCCTGAGTTTAATCCCAGCGTCTCAAAACAAAAACCAAAAAACCCAAACCCAACCAAACAGTTGTATGCCTTTAATCCCAGCACTGGGGGTGGGGGGGTGGGGTGGGGGGGGAGCAAGTGGATCTCTGTGAGTTTAAGGCCAGCCTGGTCTACATAGTGAGTTCCAGGCTGGCTGGGGCTACAGGGAGACCCTGTCTCAAAAACACAAAAACAAACAACAACAGAACAAGACAAAAAAGCAAGCATTAAACTTGAGACAGTGGCTGGCTGGAGTCTCATGCTACAACCCCAGGCTGAGGCAGGAGGATCAGGTCTGCTTAGAACTAAGTTATACAGTGAGACCCTGTCACAAACAAATGAAAAATCAAACATGACTTCATCTTGAAAAATCAAAAGCCCAACAAGCAACAAGCTGAAAGGCACAGTCTCAGGGAGGAAAGACTGGTGTACAAATGCATGAAACACTCATGCTCACAACTGGAAGAAATACAGCACATGGATGAGAGATTCGTGTTCAAGAAGTCCTAGCTAGGTGTGTTGGCACATACTGGTAATCTCACTGTAGGGGAGGCTGAGGCCAGGGGATCATAGGTTTCAAGGTCAGCCTGGGCTACACAGTAAAACAAAACAATTTCTACACCTTATCAGGCAGCTGTGGCACCTTCATTGTTCTCTGGATGTACGGTGTAACCTTCTGATTGAAATGGTTACTGCTCTGGTTGATCTGGGACTCAAGTCACCAGAAGTCCATGAAAACCATTCTCACCGTCAGTAACATCTGTAGAACTTTAACCAGGAGTCTGTTGCATGTTCAACTATGCTGAATACATAAAAGCCACTTAAACCTTCAGCTAGGAAGTGAATACAGAAAATGACTTCTAGGAAGAAAATAAAGTTTTTGGGGTTTTTGTTGGTCTTTTTTATTTTTTTATTTTGTATGAGTGTACTGCCTGCATGTATGTGAGTGCACCCGTGTTGTGCAACGCTGTGGAGGTCAGAAAAGGGCATCAGGTTCCCTTGGAACTGGAGTTAAGGATGGTTCAGAGTCGCCTTGTGAGTGCTGGGAGTTGAACCCAGGTCCTCTGCAAGAGCAGTCAGTGCTCTTAACCACTGAGCCATCTCTCCAGCCCTGCTGGTCTTTTTGAGACAGGGTCTCCCTTGTAGCCCTAGCTGTCCTGGAACTATGTAGACCAGGCTGTCCTTGAATTCAAAGAGATCTGCCTGCCTCTGCCTCAGGAGTGCTGGGACTAAAGGAGTGTGCCACCATATGTGGTGGAGAAGCCATAATTATGGATTTAAAATTTCTTTTCCCTTCTTTTAGAAAGTAGCCTTGGTCTAAGAACTAGAGGGAGCCAGAGGGGAGCAGCCTCCATTCTTGCTGCTCTTAGGAACTGTGGATGAGCAGTTGGGATGCCACCTGTGTTCTTTCTTGTTCTCATGTTACCTTCGTCTCCTCTGGCTTCTAGGTGTACTGTGTTTTTTCTTAAGATGGGAACTTCCTGCACTGCAGAGACTGCTAATCTAGCATGTGCTTCAATAACACAAATATGGCAGAGGGGGACCCTAGCCAGACCCTGGATTTATGCTGTAATAAACAGCATGCTTTGTGTATTGTGGGCCCACACATATTCAGGTTTAAAAATTGAACACACTGGCTCTTAGGGCTTCCCTCCATCACAGCTGCTTTTGAACAAGCCATGTGCAATAATCTAGCCCTGTTCACCATGCACACTGAGCTCTACAGTTGAATGTGATTCTGTGTTTAGGGAAACCCGACTCTGCCACTGCCATTCTTGCCTTAGCATTAGCCAGAGCTATGGGCCACAGGATGTTCACAGTACCGAATGATTCTATACTTTGATTTTTTATCAGCATTAGAAGAAATAATTGAATAAGAGGTATTTCTCAGAAAAATGAGTGCTATTATGTGTTATCATTTGTTTATATTTTTAGACGAGTTCCTACTATGTAGCTGCGGCTGGCCTGGAACTTGTGACAATCTTCCTGCCTCTGACTTGAGAGGGCTGGGATTACAAGTGTGTGTCACCATGCAGCCCGAGTGCCATTACTCTGGCTTTAACAAGGGAAACGGAAGACAGACCCTTGGCCAACACAGAGCTACAAAGTAGCTATGAAGATGGTGCATTCAAATCTACGAAGGACAGCCAGGCCAGAGGGCACACTGTAACCCTAACATTAGGGAGGTAGAGGCAGGAAGGCCAGCATCGACTACACAGTTAGTATGAGGTCAGCCTTGGCTACCTAAGACCCTGTCAAAAAACAAAAGAAAGCAACCTATAAGCGACCTGGGCAGCATAGTGAAGTTTTGTCTCAGAAGAAAAACTCACAGAGGAAGGCGGATACTGGAGAAAATGAAGATAACAAAGGGTCAAAGTCTGGATCTACTGGGGACACGCATAGACGCACAGACACACACACACAAAATAACTTTTCTTTCATCTTCTAAACACTCTTCAGATCCTGGGCAACCAAATGGCAAAAAAGGCTCAGTCTGTTTCATTGGATGGCTAGAGTTGCTGGAATCTAGACTGTGGCTGAATGGAAAGACTACAGGACACCAGGAGATATGCAAACCTGGACTATGGAGGCATACGTCATAGCTGGTACGTACTAGAATCACTAACAGGTGGCTTTTAGCACAGGCAGAGACTTTGGTGATGAGCTCAAAATATGGGCCTCACACAGTATCTTATGATATTAAGTGGATTGCAGTCGAACTGCAGAAAGGGAAGAACTGAGAAAAGAATTTTCTGTTGAAACTTGTGGACTGGAATGCATGGGCACACATAACCAATATCTTACTTTACATTTACATATTCAAATTTCCCTATCATTAATTTTTCAGAGTTAATGTCACTGAAGCTATAGCAACAGACTGTTCCAAAGTTCACTTTTCCAGTGCTACATCTACTTAAAGTGCACAGGTCCTTGCATGCAATGACACACTCATCCAGCTGCTCCACTCCCAATGGAACTTGTGTCTAATCAGTGGACTCTGACTGCACACACGCAGGGATGCCAGTCCCAAACTTAGGTTGCAAGTGAGTTACACTGGGGTCAGGAGGTCCTACTGTAGATCTGTTCAATGTCATTCATTTCTTTGGGACAATCTGCAGAAAGGACAAGAGGTGAGTCCTGAGTCACCACTACGTCATCCTCAATTCGTACTCCGAGACCCCGAAACTTCTCTGGAGCATCTCTGTCATCCTCTGGAATATAAATGCCTGAGGAACAGGAAGACAGGTATATGGTCAGTGATAGTAACTGGTGGATCTCAGGCAAGTTCACAAACTCCCTCATCTGGGGGCTGGAGAGATGGCTCAGCAGTTAAGAGTTTGGCTGCTCTTGCAGAGGACCAGGTTTGATTCCCAACATCCAAATGGTGGCTAACAACTGTCCATAACTCCAGTTCCAGGGGAATTTTACACTCTCTTCTGACCTCGGTGGGCACTGCATGACATGAGTGCACTTATGCACATGCTGGCAATATTCTCATACACATAAAATAAATAAAAATAATAAACTAGGGACTAGAGAGATGGCTCAGTGGTTAAGAACACTAACTGTTCTTGCAGAAGACCTGGGTTTGAATTCCAGCACCCACATGGCAGCTAATAACTGTCCATAACTCCAGTTCCAGGGGATCTGACAGCCTCTTCTGTCCTCTGCAGGCACTGCATGACATGGGTGCACTTACCTACATGCAGGCAATACACTCATACACATAAAATAAAAATAATAAATAAATTAAAAAAAATTAAACGAACAAAAAATACCCCCTCCCTCCCAAACTCCCTCATTTGCTCCTGATGGATCTTCACGCACTTACCCCAGTGTTGTGGATTAAGTGAAGGACTGCATGCTGCAGAGCCTGGTGCCCAATGCTCAGCCAGGTGGTTCTTATTAGCTAGGATTATCATTATGGTCATTCTGTTTGCTAGATCACAGGCTGCATATGACTGTAATGCTGATCATGATTCTGTCATAGTCTACTGGTTCAAACAAGCCACTAATTTACAGATATGTTATATATGTCAGGAACCAGCAGATTATATAGATATATCTTTCCCTGCCCAATAATCCCCTGGAGAAAGGGTATTTAGTTAAAGTATGAAGTCAGCTGTGGTGGCACACATCTGAAATTCTAGCACTTGGGAGGCTGAGGTGGGAGGATTGCTGGCAATTTGAAACTGGTCTGGGCTAGACAGTGAGTTCAAGGCCAGCTTAAAATATATAGCAAGGACCAAAAGGGGTGGGGGAGGGAGCAAGGGAGGGAAGAGGAAGAGGAGAAGTAGTATATTTAAAATGTATTAAGATATAGAGATATTAGTCAAAGCTTTAGAATTTGTCACTATAAAGCTTATTTAAAAGAGAGAAAAACCTTTAAGTTAAAAAAAAAACCCTATACATTTATGTATGACATTTTAATGTACTTTTGGAAAAATCTAGGCACCTCAGGTATTTTTTTGTTTCATTTTTATTGAGACAGGGTCCCATTTATCTGAGGTTGGCCTTGAACTCCTGCTCTTACATGCTGGGATTATAGGAATGTACCATCAGGCCTGGCTTCTAGGCCCTCTTCCTAATCTTCAATTTAGTCAGCTTCCAGGTCTTCACACAGAGAAGCTGCAAACTTCTTCAGATAATGTGAGATAAAAAGATCAGCAATAGAAACCAGAGTTACAATGTGAGGAAGCACTGCATGTATCCATTTACTAATTAGATGGGACCAAAAAGCATCTAATGCCACACAGAACACCAATACTGGTTCAGAGGGTGGCAAGAAGACACCTCTCACTGGACATGGTGATGAAAACCTTTAATCCCAGCAGGCAGATCTCTGGGAGATCGAGGCCAGCCTGGTCTACATAGAGAATCCAGCAATGGTTACAGGGAGACCATCTAACAAAAAGACAAAAAAACCCCCCAAAAACAACAACAACAACAACCAAAAAAGCATTTCTCAGTTGGGTGTGGTAACACATGCTTTCAGTGCCAGCACTTGGCACTTGGAAGGCAGAGGCAGGTGGATCTCTGAGATGGAGGCCAATCTGATCTACATAGCGAGTTCCAGGCCAGCTAGAAATACAGGGAAATCCTGTCTCCAAAAAGGCAAAACGAAAGACACTTCTCAGTTCAGCATGATGGTAGAGAAAGGCTGTTCCATAACTCCAGTTCCAGGAGACCAAGATCCTTTTCTGTCTTCCATGGGCATTACATGACATGGGTGCACTTACATACACGCAGGCTATACACTCATACACATAAAATAAAAATAAATAATTAAAAAAAACAAAAATTAAAGCCATTCCAGAGCAGCTTCCTTATGCAGCAGATGGTGATTAGCGTAGAGACCCGTAACTGGCCAATGTGCAGAGAGTAAGAGGCTGCAGAGTGCTTAGCCCTGAGTAGGAGAAACTTCTACCTGCTAAGGCTCAGGGATCATTGTGGAAAAGGGAGCAGAAAGATTCTAAGAATCAGAGATGGTGGAGGAATACAAAGAAAAAATTTTCCAACAGATAGGCAGTTTCTCATATGAACTCAAAACAATGGTGACCACATGCTCAAGTCCCACATAAGCTCAAGTCAGACAAAATCCCAGCACTGACGTGAGAAAGTGGGTAAGAAACTCAAACCCTCCCTGAGGAACTACTGGCAACTGATGGTTGCTGGGAGGGGGAGAGTCAGTCTTGTTTAAGGGTATGCCTCTTGGTAGGTTAACTAGGCTCGAGTGGATGGGCCCATACCAAAGAGCATTTGGGACACAAGTTTGATTCTATAGTGCCCCCACCTGGGTGTGTGTGTGTGTGTGTGTGTGTGTGTGTGTGTGTGTGTGTGTGTGTGTGTGTGTGTGTGTGTGTGTGTGTGTGTGTATGTGTGCAATAAAATGTGTGTGTGTGTGTGTGTGTGAAAATAAAGCATATGAAAACTGGGAATAGTAAAGAGTGCTTGAGGAGGGAGGGAATCAATGAGGGAATCAATATAGTATGAAATTCACAAAATAAAGCTATTTCTCAGCCACAATTTACCTAATTTTGAGATTAAAATACTTGAACTCTAAACTCGAGTCTGCTTTCACAATGCAAATTTCTGTAGTGTCTAAAGTAATTTCTTATACTATTGCCCTTTGCACACACTGTGGCCACTTCATTTCCTCATTCTGCCCAAAAGGCACTGACTAGAGTCAGGTAATTTACAAGTTTTTGTGATACTTGAGAAAAGTCCTGCACAGGACAGAGGGATGATGGTGGGTAGTTCATCATAGGAGGCAGGTGTTGCAACTCTCTGGCACAAATTGGCCCTGGCAAAGGCAGGGTTAAAAAAGGATCTATTTCTTTTTTTTTTTTTTTTTTTTTTTTTTTTTGTCTTTTTGAAGCAGGGTCTCCCTGTAGCCCCAGCTGTCCTGGAACTCACTATGGAGACCAGGCTGGCCTTGAACTCAGAGATCCACCTGCCTCTGCCTCAACCCTGCTGGGAGTACAGGTGTGCGCCACCACACCCGGCTAGGGATCTATTTCTTAATATTGACTTGCAGAAAGTATTCACCATCTGTTGTTTATTGGAGGAGTCAAATTAAACAAATTGTGTGATGTTTAATAAGAAAACTAAAGATAAATCTAAAACAGGTACCTTCTAACATTGGAGGGACCCTCCCCTACCTACCATGCATCTAATTTAATTATGTTGGATAGTAAAATCAGCAATATTTACCTTCAAGTATATGTCATGAGAGTCAGAGTTGCTAACCCCTTCCTTACCAGGCTCAATTGTGATCACCATGCCAGGTTGCAGAGGGAGGGAACGAGGCATGTCTGGGGTGTCATGGACATCCATCCCAAGGTAATGGCCAACATGGTGAGGGCAGTATTTCCGAGCAGCCTGGAAAAGAGAATTACCACAGTACTATTAGTACAATGACCTCTTTTTAAAACAATCTTAAAAAGTATTTATTTATTTGTGTGGAGGTGAGGGCTGTGCACATATGGAGGTCATAGGAAAACTTGTAGGCACTGGTTTTCTCCTGCCATGTGGGTCCCAGGGACTGAACTCAAGCCATGAGGCTTGGTTGGAAGTATCTTTACCTGATGAACCTCCTAACTGGCCAGAACAATGACCTCTTTTTGTTTTTGGTCTTTTTGTGATAGAGTCTCCCTGTGGAACTCATTATACAGACCAGGCTGGCCTCAATCTCACAAAGATCCGCCTGCCTCTGCCTCCCAAGTGCTGGGACTAACCCTTAAGCCACCACCTGGCTTCAGGAAAATAACTCCTAAAAGAAATCTGGGCATAAAGTGCTGTGGTGCCGGCACCATTCCCTGTTCCTACCACCTAGATTTAACCTATTCCTAGATTAAGTGTAAGAGACCAGATAAACTGTAACTTCTTCAGTGGTGGTGGTAGTGGTGTTTGTGTGTGTATGCAATATGCTTGTGCAAGTGTGCAAGCCCATGTGTGTGCCTACAGAGACCACAAGTCAACACAAGTTGTCTGCACATATGTAAGTGCACCCATGTTCAGCCAGAAGACGGTGTCTGATCCCTTGGAACTGGAGTTATCAATGGTTGTTAGCCACATGTGGGTACCGGGAACCAAACCTGGGTCTTCTGTAAGACCAGCCAGTGCTCTTAACCAAGGAATTATCTCTCCAGTCCCTCCACCTTATTTTTTGAGACAGTCTCTCACTAGTTGGCTAGATTAGCTGGTGAGCAAGCCCCCAGGATCTTCCTGTCCCTCCTTCCCAATGCGGGGATTACAGATGCACGCCACCATACCTAGTGTCCTGAGTGCTGGGATTAAAAGTGTGCCCTACCACACCTGGCCCACACTTAGTGTTTTTTTTTTTTTGTTTTTTGGTCTTTTTGAGACAGGACCTCCCTGTAGCCACAGCTGGCTTGGAACTAGATTATGTAGACCAGGCTGGCCTTGAACTCAAGAGATCCACCTGCCTTTGCCTTGAGAGTGCTGGGATTAAAGGCATGTGCCACCATGCCCAGCCTTTTATGTGGGTGCTGGGGATGCAAACCCAGGTGCCCACTCTGGAATAGAAGCACTTCACCCACTGAGCCATCGCCATCATGGCTAAAAAACTGACATTTCTTACATGGCTGTGCAGCTGGCATCCTCTTTCCATCTTACCATCCACCATTAAATCTGTGATACACAGGCCGTGTAGAGGAAAACCCAGAAATGACAGTGACAAATGAGAATCTTTGGGCTGGTGATATGGCTAAGTGGTACTTACCTGCCACGTGTGAAGTCTTTAGCTAGCTCCTCTGAGAAAAATATCTTTTTTGAGAGGAGGAAAGCTATGTTATAACTGTTAATTTCCCAATTTACACATTTCAAAAAAGAAAAGTATGGGCCTGGAGAAATGGTTCAGTGGTTACAAGTACTGGCTATTCTTGCAGAGGACCCACGTTTGGTTGCCAGCAAACACGACAGCTAATAAGGACCAATAACTCCAGTTCCAAGGTATCCAATGCCTTTTTCTAACCTCTGTGGATACTGCATGACACAGTACACTTGTACTCAATACACATAAAATAAGTAATTTTTAATAAAGGAAGATACAAAACACATGAGCTGGATGTAGAGGTGCATGCTTGTAACTCTAACACTTGGAAGGTGGAAGCAGGACAGTCAGCAGTTCAAAGTCATCCTCAGCTGTGAGTTCAAGGCCAGCCTGGCTATGAGACCATGCTTCCAAAAAATACAACAAAATACGATACAGTAAAAAAAGATAAATTTCACATATCTCTCTTACAGAGCCTATTCTGCAAACCCTAAATATCCCACAGCAAATTGTCGAGGCAAAATTATTGTGCATTTAGCAGCTTGGATTTTTCTGTTAATAAAGACGTGTTGGCTTGAGCAACACGGAATCTATAGCTTCTTTTCTATTGCATAGGAATCCTGGTAATCTAAGCTTGGAGGTGAAGACACCTAATGCCTATATGGTTAGGCTACTTAGAATCTTAGGCTCAGGTTTTGTGATTATAATGGATACCAACACACTATACTGCAGACAAAACTCATGAAAGATGGAGCCCTTGGACATTTTGCGGAAGTCTCAATAATGTAACTGAAACAATAAACAGCCTCCCTTCTGACCTCCAGAATCCCCAGGAAATGATTAAGAGTTAACGTCTCCTTTTTTGTGTCCCTTTCCATCCTGCCTATATCAGATTTCATTTTGTTTAGTGGGTTCTACAGCAGGTAATGAATCAGAGTGTGCTGCCACCTTCTGGAAGAAACAAGTATCAACTCCCTTTGTTTTAATCCATGTGAAGCTAAGTCCCTCAGAACTGTAAAGACATCTAAATCTACTTAGCTTCATTAGGTAGGGCAAAAATTGCACACCATTTAGGTGTTCTTGAGAATTGGGGTTAAGAGAAGGGAAGTACCTTGAAGGCGTTTTCCTTGCTGGTCTTCATGATCCCCAGCTCCTTAAGCTTCTGGCCCATCAGTGTCAGCATCATGCTGTAGATGTTCTCCAAGCTTGTCCCAGGGGAGCAGAGTGTCAAACATGCTCTCTGGATCTCCAGAACAGCTTCATAGAGTTCTGCCTGAGGTGAAGTGAATCTGAAGACAAGAAAGGCAAAGAATGTTAACTATGTAATCAGATCCTCAGGCTAGGGAGCAGGTGCTTGACATACTAAGCCCTCACTCCAGTCCCTTCAATAGGATCTTTTTAAAATTTATTATTTTATTATTTTATGTGTATGCATGTATTGCCTGCATGCAGGTAAGTGTACCCGTGTCACGCAATGCCCGTGGAGGTCAGAAGAGGCTGTCAGATCCCTTGGGACGGGACTAGAGTTATGGACAGTTGTTAGCTGCCATGTGGGTGCTGGGATTTGAACCCTGGTCTTCTGCAAGAACAGTCAGTGTTCTTAACTGCTGAGCCATCTCTCCAGCCCCCCTTCAATAGTATCTTAAGGTGGAAATTTCATCATTGATTTAAAAGTTTTCTTCCTTTTTTTTCTTCCTAGTGCTAAGTTTGAACCCAGAGTCTTGCCTACCAGGCAAGTGCTCTACCATTTTCCTTTCTAATTTAAACATTTAAACTTCTACGTTGGGCATGGTGGTAAAGTACTCCAATTCCAAAATTCAACAGGCTGAGGCAGAAAGATTGCAAGTTTAGGCCAGCCTGGCCTACATAGTAAGTTTGAAGCTAGCCTGGGTTATGTAGTGAGATCCTGCCTCAAAACAAAAATTATAAATTTCTGCTTCTACTGCATCCCACAAATGTTTCTATGTAGCGTTTTAATCACTGCTCCATCTGAAATATACTCTACTTTCCTTCACTGTTTCTTTGTTCCACAAGTTATGCAGAATGCATTCACTAGTTTCTGTTTTTGTAAAATTATTTATGTCATTCTCTGCAGCCCTATTTGTAGATTTTTAAAGATTTTATTTATTTAAATCATGTGTGTATGCAAGTATGGTGCCTTCAGAGCCCAGAAGAGGGTGATGGATCCCTAGTTAGAATTACAGGCAATTGTGAGCTGCCTGGCATGTGTGCTGGGAACCAAACTTGGGTCTATGGAAGAGCAAAAAGACACCTGAGCCATCTCTCCAGCTCTACTACTTGGAGATTTAAAAATCTATTTGATCTCTGGGCATGGTGGTGCACACCTTTAATTCCAACAGAGGCAGGTGAATTTCTTTGAGTATGAGGCCAATGAGAGCTATTAAGTGAGACCCTGTCTCAAAGCAGCAACACCACAAATCTATTTTATTGTTATGATTTTTCTGATCTGTAATCAGATACACTCCACTGGCCCAGTGATTTGCCTAATTTATTTCCACTATAGCCAGAGAACACACTTGGTAAGACTTCAGCCTTTTAATCAATTTTTTTTTAGACAGGGTTTCATTAACCGTGACCAGGAACTCAGAGATGTAAATCTACCTGCCTCTGCCTCCTGATAATTAAAGGTGTGTGCCACCACACCCATCCGAAGACTTCAGGCTTTTGAAATCCATTGAACCTGGCAAACATTCTAACTTAGTGAATGTTTTCTATAGGTTTGAAAAGAATGAGATCTATAGTTGTTGGGCCTGATCTTTTTGCATACTTTTCCTATAAATTAACAAGATTGTGAAAATCTCCAGTAAGTGGGGCTGTGTATTTCTCTTAACTTTTTTCAGCTTTGCTTTGTGTAGTTTGCAGCTGTTTGAGGGACCAACACATTCATAATTGATAACATTTCAAGACACACTGACTCTCATCATCAGGCAAGGTTCCTTTTTTGATAGAAAGCTCATGTGGGAGCTGGAAATCAAACCCAGGATCTCTACAAGAACAGCCAGTGCTCTTAACAGATAAGCCATCTCTACAGTTCCTCCCCGCCCCCCAGTATTTACCTTTACTTTTATTTATGTTTTTGTCTTTTTGAGACAGGGTCTCCCTGTAGCCCCAGGTGGCCTGGAACTTACTATGTAGACCAGACTGGCCTTGAACTCAAAGATATGCCTGCCTCTGCCTCCCAAGGCTAGGATTAAAGGCGTGCGCCACCACACCCTGCCCCTAATATTTTTTTAAGCATTCCATTTTAAGATCTTTATTGGCTTCTTAGCTATACTTATTTGAATTAATTAAAAAAAATTTGTTATTTTTATTTTATGTGTATGCGTGTATTGTCTGCATGTGTCATACAATGCCCAAGGAGGTCAGAAGAGGCTGTCAGATACCCCGGGACTGGAGTTATGGACAGCTGCCAGCTGCTATGTGGGTGCTGGGTATTTGAACCCGGGTCTTCTGTAAGAACAACCAGTACTCTTAACCACTGAGCCATCTCTCAAGCCCCTTGAATTATTTTTTTCTGGTTGTTTTAGGAGTTATGTTCTTCTGAAGAGTGATTTTCTTTGGTTAGATTCCAACCACAAACTGTTTTCAAAGAGAAACAACTAAAATTCATCTTCCAGCTGCTGGCATGTTGATGGGCATCTTAGTGCCTTCCCTAAACAAAGCTTAGTGATCACTCAACAATTTCTGAGTATTTTGTTGCAGAGGGCTCACACTTTCTAGTCCTTCTCTTCAAGAATTTCCCCCATTGTTCCAGTTGTCTGATCAGCACCTAAGTCTGCTGTCTGCCATTTTGAGCTGGAAAAACTGGCTTTATGTTGGCAAAGCACTATGGATTAGAGGATGCCTCCTGGCAGAAAACCCTCATCACTAAATTTATCCATTCTAGTTCTTTTCAAAGATTCACAGTGAAGTAGAAGCTCCCTGGTGCCTTCCAATTGCATTATCTGTGGAGTATTAATGCAACCAAGATAACTTACTGTACCTTAAACACTACCTTTGTAAGCAAAAGAAAAGCTACCACCACCATCAAAGAAAACCGAAATACCAAATACCAAAAAAGTGCATGTGATATGAACGTTACATCGTTTGAGAGCTTTACTATGTTATGTAAGGAATAAAACAGCCAACAACACTGAGCAGCTCTGCAAAGACAGTTAACCTGACCTAGAAGAACTCCTCATCTTGCTTTGTCATTCCAGATCTATCTCTACCCCAACTCAAATCCTAAGCAGTCAGTAACAGGGCATGTTATGCCATAAAAGCCCTACCTGCCATTGACAGGCCAGGTGCGGGTGATGTCACTCACATAGCAGGAAGACTCGCAGCCTCCATCTAGAAGCACCATCTCACCATCCTGGAACAAAGTAAAAAAGGTGAAAGCCAAGATCTCACAACCGGGAGTTGCTTTTTGTTGTCTAAAATAAGCCTTCAGGGCTGGTGAGACAGCTCAGTGGGTAAGGGGCATTTGATGTGCCAGTCCAATGACCTTTTGATCTGCAGAACCCACACAACAGGAGAGAACTGGCTCCACAAATGTGTCCTCTGACCTCCACATGTGCACCGAGGCATGAGCACAACTGCACATACATCACATACACACAACAATAATGAAATTTAAAACATATGCCTTCTGTGGATCTCTGTGAGATCAAGGCTAGCCTGGTCTACATAACAAGTTCTAGGTCAGCTGGGGCTACAGGGAGACCCTGTCTCAAAAAGACCAAAAAAACAAACAAACAAAAAATACCAATAAAAAAAAAAATAGTAGTTGCATTGAGGCAAAACAGAGGGAATGTGTCTTGGCTGCCCAGGGACTGCAAAGACACTAGTAATGTTTTTCTTGATGGTTGTTTATTTTTTCTTGACAGAGGGTCTTCTGGTCTAATCCAAGCTGGCCATGAACTCACAATCCTCCTGCCTCTGCCTCCTGAGAGCTGGGATTACAGGTGTGGGTAACCATGTCCAGAACATTTTATTTTTTAAATAGTACATTACATGTTAAATATCATTAATATACATTTCACAATGAAAAAAAGGACATTGTATTAATGATGTGAAAAGTTGTTTGGTTTCTTCTTCTCCTTTTTTTCCCTTTGATCTTTTTGAGACTAGGTCTCCCTGTAGCCCCAGCTGGCCTGGAACTCGCTATGTAGACCAGGTTGGCCTTGAACTCACAGAGATCCACCTGCCTCTGCCTCCCAAGTGCTAGGATTAAAGGCGTGTGCCACCACACCCAGCAGTTTCTTCATTTAAAAAAATTTTTTTAAATTATTATTTTTATTTTATGTGTATGAATGTATTGCCTACATGTATGTAAGTTCACCCATGTCATGCAATGCCGGCAGATGTCAGAAAAGGGCATTTGAGTCTCCTGGAACTGGAGTATGGACAGATATTAGACGCTATGTGTGTGCTAGGAATTGAACCTGGGTCCTTTGCAAGAGCAGTCAGTACTTAGTACTTTTTTTTTTGGTTGTTTTTGAGACAGGTCTCCCTGTAGCTACAGCTGGCCTTGAACTCACAGAGATCTGCCTGCCTCTGCCTCCCGAGTGCTGGAATTGCTGGGATTAAAGGCATGCTCCACCACACCCTGTAATTATGTCTACTTTAAAGCTTAATGAACAGAATCATGGTCTGGTAGTTTTTCCTTTGGCTTAGTTCATCCCTCCTCCCCTTGGCACATGCCAAGTGTTCTACCACTTAGCTACATGCTCAGAGTCCCACCATCCACTTTTCTTTTTACTTTTATTTTAAACAACAACCTATCAAAGAAACAAACAAAAAGACAAACAAAGACTCACTATCAAGTGAGTGCTTAACAGAGGCGTTCCCCTCGAGAACGTTTTTCACTATTTCAGGGACATTTCAGGGACGGGTTAGTTTTCCCTGGAGGGCTAGATAGAAGACATTTTATAGTCTGTGACCTTCTCTATTTCTAGAATGATTTAACTTGCCACCGCTGTGGTGGGAAAAGCTGTGTTTGAATGAAACTTACACAAACAGGTGGCAGGCTGGATTGGGCCTTAGGGTGACAACACTGGTCCTATTATTAGACCTGGGCAACAGTTATCAGGGAATTCACTTTATAACTACTTCTTCTTCTTGGTGTTGAGTGCTATGTGTGGTCTGTGCACATGGCACCTGCAGAGGTCAGAGGCAGGGTTGGGCGTCCTGCTCTGTCACTTTCTGCCTTATTCTTTGGTGACAAGGTCTTTCATTGAATCTGGGGCTAGCCCGGAGCCAGCACTCCCAGTGATCCTCTGTCTCTGTCCCCCACAGTGCTGGTGTGACCACTGTCATGCTCAGCACTTTTACACCAGCACTTTTACAACACTGGTTGTTCTTGCAGAAGACCTGGATTCGAATCCCAGCACCACATGGCAGATAACAACTGTCTGTAACTCCAGTTCCAGGGGATCCGACGGCCTCTTCTGTCCTCTGAGGGCATTGCATGACACGGGTGCACTTACCTACATGCAGGCAATACATTCATACACATAAAATAAAAATAATAAATAAAATATTTAAAAAAGTAGATAACTAAAGGCTAAAGATGTAATTCAGTGGTAGAGTTTATGCTTAGTGAGTATGTGCAAGGGCCTGTGTTCCAGCTCAGCCTCAGCACCACTGGGAAAAAGAAAAGAAAGAAAGAAAGAAGGAAGGAAGGAAGGAAGGAAGGATGGAAGGAAGGAAGGAAGGAAGGAAGGAAAGAAAAAGAAAAAAGGAAAGGAAGGAAGGAAGAGAGAGAGAAAAGCAAAAGCCTGGTGTGGTGGCATATGCCTTAACTTCAGCCCTTGAAAGACTAAGGCAGGAGGACTGAATTCCTCCTCAGCCTAGGCTACACATTGACACCCTGCCTCAAAGTCAAAATAAATAATAAATAAAGCAAGTAATTAACTGACTTTAGACTCTTATCTGTGTATTAATGACTTGCAAATTTTGCATTTATCTTCCTCATCCATTAAGCAAGTATGCTAATAACTTTTAATCTAACAGGGCAAGTGCAAGGACCTAATGAAATCATATCCATAAAACCACTTAATAAATAATAAAGTGCTTTTCAAGTGGCAGTTAATCTGTGAAAGCAGAAGGTTAGTGTTTCTTATTTTCTCCTGGAGCATCTGGACCTCATGAGAGCAGGAGCAAGGGCATCTTGAGCACCTTGATGAGCTGATTATTCTTCACATAGTGCAAAGTGTTTGACCGACTGCCTCCAGCAACCACAGGTGGGTAGGCTAAGATGTCCGCACCTCGGGCTCGGCACTCGAATTCAAACTGTGAAAACAAAGTATGAAAACGTTTCTGTAGAGCCGTCTTCAACAGCTGGGAACTCCACACCAGCACTTGCTAAATGTCATTAGAGGATGCTACTCAAATCCCACCGAACGTTTAATGCCACGGTTTCAGCACACTCCTGTGATTCTCACCTTATATATTCTAGTCTATAAATACAGCCCTGTCATTCAACTTTATTATTTTTTTTGAGACAGGATCTCATGTAGCACAGGTTGGCCTCAAACCTATAATGTAGTTGAGGATGACCTTGAGATCCTGACCCTGTGTCCACTTCTCAAATGCTAGAATTATAGACATGTACTGAACACCCAGCTTCAACTTTATTAAATCTCCCATGATTTTCAAATAAAGTTCAGAAGAGGACAGAATATCCTTGAAGGATGAGTCCAGAGACATAACACGCAAAGTTATTCCTAGTTACACAATAATATGGTTATACTTTTGCTTTTTTTTTTTCCCTTTGGGTCTTTTTCAGACAGGGTCTCCCTATAGCTCCAGCTGTCCTGGAACTCACTATGTAGACCAGGCTGGCCTTGAACTCACAGAGATCCGCCTGCCTCTGCCTCCCAAGTGCTGGGATTAAAGGCGTGCGCCACCACAACAGGCATGGTTATACTTTTAACAATAGCTCTACATTAGTAATTTCAGCTGCCCAAATACCTGCTGACCTAGATGTTCTGGATAAGTGGAAAACAATGCTGGGAAAAGCATAAATTCTGCCAACTGCACTACACTCTGGAGGTAGCTCCACTGGCTCCATGCAGTGGAACCTCAGGCTCGCCTTCCTTCACATTTACTCAACGCAGTATTCCCATTTTCTTTCCATTGGCTCTGCTTCGCATTCTTGACTTCTAGCACTGCACGCTTCAGACTCTTCTGCTAGACTAACATTCATGTTAGAGAAGGACATGCCATCACTACTAGAGCCTGCAAGCCAGGCCAGTGAATTCACCACACACCAGGACCCAACAGGACCTTTCAACCACTTGAAGCTCACCTTTGCATAAAGAAAGGCTTCGTCCACAGGGGCTTTACTAGCACACATGGTCTCTATGAAAGCCTGCGAAGAGAAGAGAGGATTAACTGAGTCTCATTTGAGCTGTTACTTAAACATCTGAAATGCTGGAGTTCAAACAAAAAGCAACCCCTTGCCTCAACTCACCCCATTGTCAACCTGAAGCTGTGACCAACTGATATCATACCAATTTCTGGAGGGAAAAAAACTATTGCTCGCTGGAATATTTGGCTGGTGTTAGGGCACCGACCTTCTCATTCAGAGTACAAACTGTATGCTTAAGTAAGCAATCTGGAAGCTGCTATGGTTGGAACTGTGGTGTCCCCTCCAAAACTCAGGTGGAACCTAGTCACTGGGCTGCAGCTTCCTGAGTGCTTTCTTCTCTTACAGAGGACCTGAGCTTGGTTCCCAGTACCCACATGGTCGTTCACAATGCCTAGCTCCAGGAGATCCAACATCTTCTGGCCTTCATGGGCACCCATACACATGTGGCACACACACAGATACAGAGTGTGTAAATTGCAGGAGAGTCTTAAGTTTCATAGAGGAAGCCATAAAAACATAAATTCCTTAGAGTGGCTAACTGGCCCTAAAGTGGCAGCCTGGCCTTGTTCAAGCCTTATCAACTGATCACTCCCTGGACTGAGGGAGACTATTTATGGAGCCAATCTGTCTCCTTAAGTGCTACAGATAATTCTGCCCTGCCTGAGAAAATAATCTTGGGAAGACCCTCAGGCACTCCAAGGACACCAGACCCTGGCACTGAGTCAGCTTCGGCAAGCTGCAGCTGTGTTCAACACAGTTCCTGTATCAGTCCAAACTGCTCCACTTTTCTTGGCAGAGGCCTGTTTTCCATGGACGGCTTCTGTGCTTTGCTGTGTTCTCTAAATAAAAGGAACACATTCCTTGCTTGTGGCAGGTCTGGCTCTGACTCTTATTTCTAAACTTTGAACTCCTTCCTTTTTCTGCTCTCCTAATTCTAACACACACAATATACATAAATAAAAATAACTCTTAAAATAAAAGAACCTAAATCCTCATGGGGTGGTAATTAAGGTTAGGTCTGTGGAGACCTGATTAAATCTCAAGGACTGCACCTCCACAGATGGGATTAGCAACCTTTCTCTTTGTGGCCCTTCTGCCTTATGAGGATTCCAGCACCATCTATGAAGAATGGGTCCAGACACTGGACCTGTTGTCACTCAGATCAGTCCTTCCAATTCTCCAGAAGTGCAAGGAAATAAATAGCTGTTGTCAAACAAGCAAGGCACTCTCAGATATTTCGTTATAATACTACAAATGACTTAAAAACATTTGCAATCTTTCCTTTAAGTGTCAGGTATGGTTATGAGGAGTGGAGGAGACAGCTCCCACCAGCCTTCCCACCACAGCCATGCTGGTCATCACACAGCAGTTTCTGGGAGGACGTTATACAACCAGGGCACTGAGCCTGGAAGAACACATTTGTAATTTATATACTAAGATACTATAGCCCCTCTGTGCCAAACTATGGACTGAATGATCTAATCTATGGCAGGGTTTCCCAATTTCAGCACTTTTTTTTGGTCTTTTTGAGACAGGGTCTCCCTGTAGTCCCAGCTGACCTGGAACTCCCTATGTAGACCAGACTGGCTTTGAACCCATAGAGATCCACCTGCTTCTGCCTTCCAAATGCTGGGATTAATACAGCACTATTAAAAAATTACATCTGCCAGGTGTGGTAGCACATACTTTAACCCCAGTAGAGGCAGGTGGATATCTGTGAGCCCCAGCCTGGTCTACATAGTGAGTTCAAAAACAAACAAACAAACAAACAAAAAACAAAAAACCCCTTTATTGTGTGTGTGCATGCACACGTGCACTCATGTGGAGGTTAGAGGACAATCTGTGGGAGTCAGTTGTCTCTTTCCATCATGTGGGTCCCAGGGATTGAACACAGATAGTCCTGTTGGGCAGCAATCACCTTTACTCACTGAACCATCTTGATGGCCTGAATTTCAGCACTATTGGCAACTAGAGCCACATAATCCTTTGTTATAAGGAGCTGCCCAATTCAAGGCAGGCTGTCAATAGCACTCTGCAATTGTGTGACATGGCACCTTCTTGACTACACCATGTTACAGTTTAGGCTGACTCTAGCCTCTGAAATTATCAGGCAGTTGGCCCGAGGTATGGGAACACATGTCATCAGGACCCCAGTTGTCTTGGAAACAGGTCAATGTGTCCTGGAGTGCACCTGCTAACTGCAGATTTATGGCTTCTGTAGGTTATGCTTGGCTTGTTCTTGCAAAATAGCAATAGTTGCTTAATAGAATAGAAATTAAGGGGGCTCTCCACCTGTAAGCTTGGTAACTTAAACTTTTCACCCTTGGTTATAGTTTCTTGGTGTAAAAGCTTACCATAGAGATGGCTCAGGGCTACACTCTTGGGTTCTGACACCCTAGTGTAGTAGCCACTGGCCTGCAAGATTTTCATTCAGCAAAACTTTGTCTGAGTGGTCTTCTCTGGTGAAGCACCTCATAACGATTGTGATCAGCAGATACTGCCCACATATCTCTAGGAGAGGACAAGACTCCCACTGAGAACCACTGGTCTGCAATACTAATTCCCTGTGACAGCCACACCTTATGTGTGTTTCTTTTCTTTCTTTTTTTTTTTTTTTTCCAGTCTTTTTGAGACAGGGTCTTCCTGTAGCCCCAGCTGTCCTGGAACTCACTATGTAGACCAGGCTGGCCTTGAACTCACAGAGACCCGCCTGCCTCTGCCTCCCAAGTGCTGGGACTACAGGCATGTGCCACCACGCCTGGCTGCATTTCTATTAAAAAAAAAATTATCTATTATTTTTATGTGTATATTCCCTGCATATAGGTAAGTACACCCATGTCATGCAATGCCTGAGGAGGAGAGAAGAGGCTGTCAGATCCCCTAGAACTGGAGTTATGGACAGTTGTTAGCTGCCATGTGGGTGTTGAGATTTGAACCCAGGTCTTCTGCAAGCACATTGTTCTTATGCACTGAGCCTTCTCTCCAGTCCCGTGCGTTTCTGTTTTTAGAGGCCAAAAATGTTGCAAATACTTGGGAGCTTTTATCTAATCCTTAAAAGATTTTAGGGTTATCTCTTCAGAAGATGGGAATGTTAAGAGTAGCCAAAAGCCCCATTAAAAAAAAAAAAAAAATAGCCAGGCGTATGATCCCAGCACTCGGGTGGCAGAGGCAGGTGGATCTCTGTGAGTTCAAGGCCAGCCTGGTCTACATAGTGAGTTCCAGGATAGCCTGGGCCTCAGCGAGACCCTGTCTCAAAAAGACCAAAAAATAAATAAATAAAAAATTAAAAAATAAAAAAGAAACAGAGGATCTTACCAGAAAAGAAGTATTCTCACGATATGTGAACCAACTTCTCTTTTCCATCAGAATCTTTAGAGAATTGTAGAGAAGACTACAAGTCCTAGATCTAGCTTGCTATTTTTTACAGTGATTATATAATGAATTAATATATGTAAATAATTCAGCGTAGCGCTTGTTCCATAGTATATGTTTAAATATCTGCTTAAAAAAAAAAAAAAGATTTAGGGGCTGGTGAGATGGCTCCGTGGTTAAGAGCACTGACTGCTCTTGCAGAGGACCCGGGCTCGATTCCCAGCACCCACATGGCAGCTACAACTGTCCTTAACTCCAGTTCCAGGGGAATCCAAAGCCCTCTTCTGACTTCCGCGGCATTGCACGACATACATGCAGGCAATACACTCATACACATAAAATTAAAAAAAAAAAAAAAAAGAGTTGGTTTTGGTGGTACTGAGGATTAAAGCAGGGACCCACAAATACTAGGCAAGTGCTCTACCCCTGAGCTACACCTGTAGAGCTCTAGAAAAGATTTTGATGAGCATATATAGATACTTAAAACATGACATGATATCCTAAATTTAGAGTTAAAAACAGACAAGGCATGGAAAGAACAGAGCTCAAAATAATAATACAAACCATAAAGACCAGCCAGGTGTGGTGGCACAGGCCTTTAGGAGGCAGAGACAGGCAAGCCTGGTCTACAAAGTGAGTTCTAGGTCAGCTGGGGCTACAGGGAGGCCCTGTCTCAAAAAGACCAAACAAACAACTAACCAAACCATAAAGATCTTCAGGACCACTATGGCTATTTTAAGTGGGCCACATATGTACTTCAGTTTCCCAGCAGCCAATGTGAAAGGAAAAACCTTGTGAGCTACATGACTCTTAATGTCTGATGGATAGAAACAATGTTTCAAACGAGTATGACTCTGTGATACCAGCGGCAGTTTTCTCAAGTCACTGGAGTCATGGCCTGAGAGCAGATGCAGTACTCCAGGAACATTTTGAAATAGTGTTTCTCAGTGTGGATAATGGAAAGACCAGACTGGAAAGAAGTGGTGCTTCAGTGGGAATGCCGATCTGTTGGTCCCCTCCTCATTCCAGGCTTTCCTCAGATGTTTCTCCTCAGCGAGGCCTCACCTGACCCCACTCTCCAAATTAGCACTGTTCATCACACTTTATCCTCTGCACTGCTTAATTTTTTTTCAGAGTACTTAGTTCCAGAGGACTCCGCATCAATTAGAACACAGGCTGAGGGCAGTGACACAGGCTCAGCCTCCTTGCTCATTATTGTATTCTTAGACCTAGCACATATCAGTTGTCCAGTAAAATGCCTGCTGAATGAACAATCTGTAATCTCAGCACTGGGAGGCAAAGGCAGGAGGATTACTCAAGTTCAGGAGCTTAAGACCAGCTTAGGCAACACAGCAAGATATCTTTAAAAAAAAAAAGTATTTCTCAAATCAGGTTTGGTGGTACATGACTTTAATCCCAGCACTCCGGAGGCAGAGGCAGGAGGATCTCTGAATTTAAAGCCAGCCTGGTCTACAAAGTGAGTTCCAGGACAGCTGGGGCTACAGGGAGACCCTGTCTCAAAAAGACCAAAAAAAAAGCAAAAACCAAAGAAACAAACAAACAAAAGTATTTCAAGAGTTCCAGACCAGCTGGGACTACAAGGAAACCCAGTCTCAAAAAGACAAAAG